GGTGATATTTTCTGGGTTTTCAGAGGGTGATGGGGGAGAGTGAGAGCGACTACCTTTTCACTCTGCCATCTTGGCTCCTGGAAGCCGCAGCTTGGGGTTTTTGAAAGTACTGGGCAAATTCCTAAATGTAATTTAACTTATTATTTTCTTCATTTAATTTTATATACATCTGTATGGGTCCAAGATTAGTTCATCAGTGGCCTAAATCAAATCCAAGTATATATCATAGACTAGATAATAAGCATTCTTTATCCATTTGACTTTTCCTTTTGGAATATTGGCTGAATTATTTTTACGGGTTGTGGGGATCTCATTTGAAGAGGCTCTGTAGAATAATGGGACTGTGCAATTAACATGTCAGATTGGAAGTATACTATTTTATATGAACAGAATTGTCCTTGCTGCCCATCCCACACATTTATTCTAAAGCTTCAATATAACTCAGTGGTAGAAAAATACCTGACTTTTTTAGAAGATTTTTAGCCTTTCCCCCCCCTAGAGTTTGCTGAGACAAAAACTGAGTACCCTAATCTTTTTAAATAATCTTAATTCAAAACCATTACCTGACATATCACTTGAATCAATAAATTTTCTGAATCAAAGATGTTTTGGTTTTTAAATTCATATTGTAGGGTAAAAACAGAGGAACACAAATGATCAAATTGTTTTGTACTCCCCCTTCTTCCATAACAAATTTTTCTTAAATCATTACAGGAGTGTTCAATGTCACTTCACATATTTCAAAACATAGAGTTGGTTTATAGTACTTACTTGACCTCCTTTTCTGTTGGGTAGTCTTTATACTGTTGTGTTAAATGTTGATCAAATACTTTCTAGGGAGTGGCCCTAAAGACTTATGTCTAGGTGCTTGATATCAATTATTTCACCCAAATAATATTTTTAGTGGTCTTGCATGTTTCATTTTTAGAAGTGGTAAGAAAGAATCTGGAAATGTGTCCTATCCTTTGATGCCATAGTTTCACAATCCAAAATTGCTTTGCTGTCTAAAATGTGGATAGAAAGATATTACAAAAATTTAGAATGATAAAATTTTCAATTCATTTTTAGAAGAGTTTCTGGCCAGGTTAGGCTGTGAGTTTTGCTCTAACATCTCTGGAGTAGAGGTTTAAGTCAAGAACAGTGGGGAAAACTATGCAGTGAAAATGTTGATATAGCCAATTTGTGATAATGGCATATAAAAACCAGGCATGTTTTTGATGACATGGAGAAGACTCAGGATGATAGAAGACATGGCTAGCTATTCTGTTACCCTTGGTGCATGTCAAGACCATCTTGTCACTGTGGGAACTGTACAGATCATTAACTCCTAAAAAGCCACTGTCTTAAAAACATCAGGTGGCTCCATGAGTATACTAATGTTCTATCTCTAGCAGAACTGGTAATGATGGTGCCTCAAAGACTAATAAAGATACTCTACATTCCCAAGAGAGTGCTTTTGGCTTCATGCCAACCATGGAATTAGAGAGACTATATGCTTTAGATTGAGCATTCATCCTTTATGATGAGTAAATGTTCAGTATTTGGGTATTTGGAGTTCATGTTGCTTTCCCACATTGAAGAATATGAGGTGAGCCTTCCTTTCCATGCTTTTGCCACTTCCATCCTCTCTATCTTTTTAGTGGGATCCATTTTGGAGCTGTGACCATCTGTTGGAGGGAAGATGGCATTTACCTTATTAAAAAGTCTTTGTCTTGGAATACCTCACCTTTATTTCATCACAGTGTGGTTACTTGGAACATGGGGAAGGTATTTAAAGGAAGAGAAAGAGGGCATAAGTGTGGCAGGTTGTTCTGATATTGGATGGCAGAAATTAATTTATGATCTTGTATGAATGAGGGGAAAGAATATAAAAGAAACCTATAAAAGTATTAGTCATGGTTCTGTAGACTTCCACTTGGTTAAATTACCACACTGCTTACCAGAGTGGTCAAATGTGAATGAGAGGAGGGTGCTTCAACATTCTTGTTCTCTGTTTCTGAAAGCTGTAAGAATATCCTGGGTTACCTAGCAGGCAAGCATCCTCTGGAACAGCCAATTCTGGTTACTGTCTTTTTTCCCCTTCTTTTTAAAATGTTGCTTCCATGATTTGTTGTGGTCGGTGGTGAATATGATTACTTTTAATGACTAACCTTTGTCAAGTTTTTGTATTGTGATTGACATTGGGCAATGTCCTTTACAGACGGTGATGAAATAGCCCTTAAATGGAAAACAACTAGTTCTGGCTTCTGAACTCCTCAGTTTAAGTTGATTGACTACTTGAAATTCAAACAAATAACTTCAGTGTTTCATATATGTATATATCAGATAATTAATTTCAGAATACAAATAGAAAGTTTTTTATTTAAAATATAAAAATGTGAAAATGGTTATTAATCACAAGAATTTCTTTTAATACTAGATGTACAGCAGTGAAGAACATTAGGAATGAATGTGTTTGTGAATGCTATTCAGCCTTTTTCTTGAAAAAGTCCAAGCACAATTTACGACAGATTTAATTATTGCATCTTATTCTTTGTAGTTTTTTTATGCTTTAGACTCTTTGGTTTGTATTTTCAAAGGTATGAGAGCATTCATTTGCATTAAGAAAGCAGTATGTATCTATTCTCTCTGGGATTATGACCATTTTTTGGGGGGAGGGGGCATGGTCTTGAGAGAGGACCTTTTTTCCCCTCAATATTGTTTTTTTTCCGATTACATGTAAAAATAATTTTCAACATTCATTCTTGTGAAATTTTGAGTTCCAAATTTTTCCCTCCCTCCTTCTCCTACCCACCTCCTGAAGATAGCAAGCAATCTGATATAAAATATACATGTACAATCATGTTAAACATATTTCCACATTACTCATGTTGTGAAAGAAGAATCAGAACAAAAAGGAAAAGCCATGAGAAAGAAAAATCAAAAGATAAAAAAAGTATAAATACTATGCTTTGATCTTCATTCAGACTCCATACTCCTTTCTCTGGATGTAGTTAGTATCTTCCATCACGAGTCTTTTGGAATTGTCTTGAATCATTGCATTGCTGAGAAGAGCTAAGTCTATCATAGTTAATCATCACAGTGTTGCTGTTGCTGTATACAATGTTTTCCTGACTCTTCTTACTTCACCCAGCATTAGTTCATATAAGTCTTTCTGAGTTTTTCTGATATCTGCCTGCTTATCATTTCTTATAGAACAATAGCATTCCATTACATTCATATACCATAACTTGTTAAGCTATTCCCCAGTTGATGGGCAATTTCTAACTCTTTGCCACCACAAGAAAGCTGCTAAAAATATTTTTGTACAGGTGGATTCTTTCGCCTTTTTTATGATCTCTTTGGGATACAGACCTAGTAGTGGTATTGCTGGATCAAAGGGTGTGCATAGTTTGATTGCCCTTTGGGCATAGCTCCAAATTGCTCTCCAGAATGGTTGGATCAGTTCACAACTCCACCAACAATGCATTAGTGTTCCAATTTTCCCACATCTTCTCCAACATTTATCATTTCACTTTTCTGTCATATTAGCCAGTCTGATAGGAGTGAGGTGGTACCTCAGAGTCATTTAAATTTTCATTTTGAGAGAGCAGTTTTAATAGAATGGAAAGGTCAATTGTTAGAGAGGGATTGAGGAGCAAATGGGGGTGAATAAGGAAATAGAAGAAAAAAAGATATCGGAGAAAGATATAATGATAGTTGGAGGGAATGAGAAAACAAAAGTTTGATTTTTTTTTAAGGCTAGAGGAGAAATGAACATTTTTGTAGGTAGTGGAGAAGGAAGAGGAAGGGAGAGATTTAATGTGAGGGAAAATGATTGAGGGGTAGATTCAACAGACCAGGAGATCAGTTCAAGGGGATGAGGAGAAAGGTTAACCTTGGCAAGGAAGAAGGCTATCTTATTTTCTGAGATTAGAGCATTTGAGAGTTCAGTGGGTAAATGTCAAGAGGAGTTGTGAGGTACAGAGGAGAGAAGGTGAATGTGCTCATCACAGATGGCTTAAACTGCGTAATAAAATTGGAAGTAAGATCATTTGTTTAACAGAAGGGCTGGAGTCTTAAGAAAAGAGGATAAGTTTTGGAACTATCCCTGTGAAGTATATGGTAAATCATCAATCAGAGAAGATTTTAAGGATTTTTTTGCATTTCTGAGGGATCTGTCAAGGTTAAATAATATGAATTTGTACTCAAACCAGCTTGTATGATGTGATTTACTCTAGCAATATTCAGATGACAGGGGTAGCAATATAGAAGATGGATGAGAGGAGGGTGGGGAGAAGATAATAAACTGGGTGTAAGAATTAGAAGAATATGAATAATGGAAGGACAAAGGGGCAAGTGATTGAGGGGTGGAGGACAGTGCCTTGTTTAACTGGATAACCATAGGATCCAGATTATGAAGAAAGGAGAGTCTAGAACAAGGGTAAGGACCTTAGAGAACAGGATGAAGGACAAGGACCAGATGTTGCAGTGAGGACAAGAAAAGGTTTAAAAGAGAGGAGAATGTTAGAGTTCTATATTGGAAGTGGAGGCATTTGGTGATGCTAAGACCTAAAGTTTGAACTGTGTGTGTGACTTAGGTAGAATAGAAATAGTGCATGAGCTAAGACTGATGTTCTAGAAGATCAGGGAGTTGGAAGGATTATGTGAGAACAGTTAGTGTGAGTTAGTATGAACTATAGAAGTCGTCAAAGATGATCTGAGCTTAGGTCTTCTGACCCCAAAACCATCACTCAGTCTGCTGGATCACTTAGCTGCCATGGTCTCTGGAAGTTGGGGATATATGTGTGTGTAGAGGTAGAGATAAAGGGATAGGCTTTAATATACTTGGCAAGAAGTTGCAGTTTCAGGGCAGGTGGCAAAATGCCACCTGGGTTGGCCCTGGTTGCCTAGTGGATGGTTTACTGCAGTGTTATAAAGTCATTGCTTTTTTTTTCTCACAGTATTTGCTAATGATATCCTCTAATAATTCTGATGATAAAATGTTTGCCATGTTCCAGGTCCCGATCTTCAGGTTTGCACATCCAAAAATCCCACTTGCTGTACTAAAAAGATGGAGGAGAGATATCAAATTGCAGCCCGGCAGGATATACAGCAGGTCCTTCAGACTTCGAGTTCTACATTAAAATTCCTAATATCTCGCAATGCAGCTGCTTTTCAAGGCAAGTATATCCTAAAAATTTGGAGCTTAATCTAAACTTATAACTTTTGGACATAGAAAGAGTCTGGGGAATACTCTTAAAGTATATGCTAATAACCCCCTAGACTTGAGTAATAAATTGGCAATTATGTTCATGGTAAGATTTTTGTCCATCTTTGGTTTGGAATTTGTGTACTTGCTGAGTGTGATATGGCTTGAATTAGGTTGGGCTTAAGTGACCTGATCTAGAATCCAGTGATTTAAGCTATCCTGGGAAATATTTCAGCTCTTGGGCTACCCCAGGTTATCTGATTTTTTCCCCCTCTGACCTACAGAAACTTTCTTAAAAGTATCTAACTACCCAGTGTATACAGAAACAAAGTCTTCTTCCCAGAAACCCTCTTGAATTCTGTGACCAGTCCACAACAATGCTTGGTCTCACAGGGCAACATTAGATTAGATATAGGTTATAAATCTTCAGGGCTGAGGAACATTGCAGATTCACATTTGTGTTTTCCACAGCATCTAATACTCGATCTTGTACACAGTATGTGTTCAATAAGCATATTGCATGAATGAATGATTTAAAGTTTGACTTATTGCAGGCTTGCATCCCTGGGGTGTTGTGCTTATGCAGCCATTGCTAACAGAACAGTAATTTTTCTTTTAGTATTTACTAGAAGGAAGCTGTCAAACCATGCCTTTACCTCGGGAGTGCTATGATAATATTTCATCATCGGAGCCAATATTTTTGGCTTAGTGATTACATGTTTAAAAATGCAACTAGACAAAATATTTGCCTAATGTTTTTGCCTTATTCTGATGTTATTTTCAAATAAAAGAGTATTAGAATGTCTGCATAATAATGTTCTAGGATATGTGAATATTTGATGATTGCCACTGATGGGAGATAGATTGAATGCTTTGGGATTAAGCTTAAAGGCAGAACGCCTACCATTGCTATTTTCTTTATTTTACTCCCTTGGTTCTAATGATATATTAAAATACAAAAATTAATGTGTTATAAAATTGTATGGCAGAGTAAAAGAGATAATGTTTCTTATTTCAGTAATCTCTCCTATAAAATTTCACATTACTGCAATAAAAATAATTGACTAATTTATTTTTGTTTTTATAAAACATTAGTTATTCTGTGGACCCCAGGCATGTAAATATCTAGATTGTACAGCACTTCATATAAAATTATTGCATTGGTTTAATGCATAATGAGCACCAACAATATTTTTTGAATGAGCATGTTAATGTTAATAAGTTTAAATAATTTGTGTTTTGTTTATATCTATGACTAATTCACAAAGCTGATTAAAGTTTTAGCTTTAAAATAGACATGTTTCATAAAAATGAGTAGTGTAATTTTAGAATAATGTTGAAGTTGAAAGAAAATGAAGTTAGTGATAAATTACTAAGTATAATATGGAAATCTTTTGAAATGTCAAATTTTTAGATGACTTTTTTTTAGGTGGGGTTAAGTGTCACACAACTACTCACACAGCTAGTGAGTGTTATGTGTCTGAGGTCAGGTTTGGACTCAGGTCCTCCTAACTCCAGGGCTGGTACTCTGTCCACTGCACCACCTAGCTGCCCTGGAAATGTCAAACTTTTAAAATGTTATAAATTTAGTGAGGTTTTTTTGAAAGTCTGAGTAGTATTATATCTATCATTGACTTTTATTGTAAACTGTTGGGTAAAAGACATTTTTAAATAGGTCATTAACCAAGGATTGTGATTTGTACTAGAGGTATTAGATATTCTGTGATAAAGATGCATTTTAAAGTATTTCAAAGAAATGCTGTTACTGATCATTTTACTTATAGAACAGCGTCATCTTGACAACATATCATAAATGAAGAAGTTCACGTGGGGTCACTTGTGTGAACTGGATGGAACTGGCTAGAGACAAGGGAGTCAGGAATCAAACAGAAGTTTGATTTCAAAGTGAAGAAAATGGCTTGTAAGCAAGGACACATATTCTGGAGCCCTGCCCCTAGTGGGAGAGTAAGAGCTTTAGTGTAGGCAAATCTCAATACTTGCACCTATGGCTATGAAGTAAGTTATAGACCTGATAATGAGGGGTAACAGCAACAATGAGACAAGTTTGATTTATAGAAGGACTTCATGGCTAGAATGTGGGTACTTTTCTGAGCTTGTTTAGTGCTTGTCTGATCTCAGATGTCACCTGGTGCTGGTCAAAGCAATAGGGTAATTATGTGATTTTTGCGAGAGGGTGAGATCATCCAGAGGGTGAGCACAAAGGATTGTTGTTATGCCAAGCTCAGGGCACAGCTTGCTTGCTGGACCTTATCTGTGGAAAACAACATGTCTCTTAACACCTTTTTTTAAATAGTTTGGTTAGGCAACGGGATTAAATGACTTGCCCAGGGTCACACAGCTAGTGAGTGTCAAGTGTTTGGTCTGAGGCTGGATTTGAACTCAGGTCCTCCTGAATCCAGGGCTGGTGCTGTATCCCCTGCTCCTCTTAACGTTTTGACACTTGAAATTGTGAGCTGTTAGAGCCATGGAGAACAGTCACCTTAAGGGCTTTGTAAGAGGAGAACAAACCTGTGAAGGAGCTGTGAATATAGTGTGAGAATATGGTGTTTTAACATATAAGAATACAATGCCAAGGAATGACAACAGTTTCCAAAAGAGGGAGTGGTCAATAATTTTAAAGACTGTAGAAAGATCAAGAAGGAAAATGATTTAAACACACACACACACACACACACACACACACACTACTGGATTGGATTGGGTTAGGGAAGTGGTGACCTTTGAGAAAACAGTTTTATTAAAATTATTAAAATTAAAATTTATTAAAATTAAAACTATGTCATATATCCTTCACTATAATCTTGTCAGGCAAGCGCTATTATTATCCCCACTTTACTGATGAAAAAACTGAGGCTAAAAGCAGTTAAATGACTTGTTCAGGGTCACCCCTCTTTGTGTGTGTGTATGTATGTATATATATACATATATATATGTATGAGGCATGATTTGAATCTAGATCTTTCTCACCAATATTACTAATACTTCCATTATCTTCCAGGTGTGCATTTCCTGGAGTCATAGTCTAGTACTAACATGCATATGTACAATCCATATTTCCATCTTTGACATCTATATCTATGAATAGAATATGTACATGTGAATATACACACATGTACTCATGCATGTGTGGTATATAACTTCCCCATGACTAACTTTACTTATACAGAGTGTCCCTAAAGTCTTAGTGTAGTTTTAAGTTATTAAAGCTTATATAGTCACTAAGACATTTGGGGGATTCATATAAAAGTATTGTGAATGTATGTAGATTAATTAGAACACAATTCATATGGTTTTGTTGAAGGATTTTTTTTTTTTACATTATACTGAGAAAATTTTGGGAAAATACTTTTAGTATATCATTTCAGTTTCCTTGGGAAAGGGAAAAGTGTCCTACTATTATTCCTATTTTATATATAAGGAAACTTAGGCCAGCAAAGGTTAAGTGATTTGTTTGGGATCACACAATGAGTAAGTATCTGAGGCTGGATTTAAACTGGGGCTTCCTGACTCCAGGTCCAGCCCTTTCCACTCTCCACCACCACTGCCAAGTAGTAAATACAGTGCTAACCTTCACATTAGACATGGGTTCAAAATTGTTTCTGACATTTATTGATGGGATGACCATGGGCAAATCAAGATTCTCTCTAAAATTATGAATTATAGAAGAGCTTGCTACTTTGAATTGGTAGAAGAAGTTCCTCTCACCAGCTGAATTACATATCTAGATCAAAAATCATCACCAATAGAATTATATATTGAAACTAAGAAATCATTAACATTTATGTAACATTTTAAAGTTCAAATACTTGGGATGGAGCACGGGCCAGGACCCAGCTTAACTCTCCCAAAATTCCTCCCTCCCCCTCAAACAACTTTAAAATAACACCTCAAATCAAATTTTGGAGTGGCAGAGCCAACAAAAGATCAGAGTGAGTCATTTTTCCATTCAAAGACAACTTAGGAGGTCCACAGGAGAGGTCTGTAACATCATGTGTGTGTGGGGGGGAGTGAATGCCTGGAGCGGGGCAAGAGCAAAAGTGGTGGGCCATGGAGGTGACAGCAGCAATCGCAGCATGAGCAGCTTTGGGAGCTCTCAGCCCTGAGATGGTAAGGGGGTCAGACAACTAGTCAGAGATTACAGGGGACCCTTTGCTGGCAGTGGGTGTGGTTTGTGCTTATTGGTGACTCTATTACTCATAAGCACAGTTCTGGGGCACAGTTCCAGGATGGAGACAGGAATGCTTGTGATTGGTCACAAGGAAGTAGAGGACCTGATTACAGTTCAAGAGGGATTACAGGGCTGAGAGGAACATTAGCACTTGTAGCTGCAAGGGAGCAGGGCCCCTTTCTGATTAAAGACCAGAGCACAGACAAGGAGAGCAGTAACCACACCTCTCCCAGAATAACATCACCTTAGAAGCACTGAAAACTTGTAGACCCCTAGAACTAGCTTTGAAAACAGCAGATCAAAAAAGTCTGAAGCTTAGCACAGTGCCTCCCCACCCACACGTGAGCCACAGCCCAACTTTAACATAAAGTTCAAAGTCAAGAAATAGGTTGGGAAAATAAGTAGACAACAATAACAAAAAAAAAGAACTTGACCAGAAAAATCTACTTTGGTAGCAGGTAAGACCAAGACATAAACTTAGAAGAAGACAACAATAGGAAAACAACTACAAACAAAGCCTCACAAACAAATGCTAATTGGACCCAAGGCCATCAAGACTTCCTGAAAGAGATAAAGAAAGATATGAGTGGTAGAGGAAAAATTGGGAAAAGAAATGAGAGTGATACAAGAAAATTATGAAAAGAGAATTAGCTTGGTAAAAGAAATAAAAATTCACTAAAAGAAAAGAATTCCTTTAAAAGCAAAACAGGCCAAATAGAAAAGGAAGTATAAAAATTCACTGAAAAAATTCCTTAAAGGAAGAATTGACTAAATGCAAAAAG